TTCCCACAGACTCTGAAAAAACACTGACGTTCTTCAACTACGACTACAAAGGAGACTTCCAGACTGTCGCCTTTGAAGGAACTGAAATCCAAAAAATCTTCCATGGCAGTTTCCACAAGGTACACTTTAAATATATGTGTGGTAAAATACTGACTTGAATGTAATATAATTTATTCTCAAAAGTGTAATGGCCCTAACACAGCGAGTGCCATTTTGCATACATATCAGGGTTTTGTCTCACATTTCAGGAAAAAACGTCATTACACTATTTAGGTGGTGCTGGTAGTTCCGAGGACAAATGTTGAGCAGGAAGCTTTCTGACAAACTGCTGAGAAAGAGACAAAAGAAAGGAAGGTAAAATGTTTTGTGGTGTTTTTGAAGGGGAGGCTTTCCAGTGGCTCTCGGACTGGACTGTTTTTCTCTTGACCCGTCAACACCTGTGTGTGTGTGTGTGTGTGTGTGTGTGTGTGTGTGTGTGTGTGTGTGTGTGTGTGTGTGTGTGTGTGTGTGTGTGTGTGTGTGTGTGTGTGTGTGTGCAGGTGTTGATAGATCTCCTCCCTCTTCTCTCTCTCCCTCCTACTCTTAACTGCTTTTCTAAACTAGTGGAGTGTACAGAGTGGGAGTGAAACTGTACATTTGAATGACCCTTTGAGACCCCTCTCTGGAAGTTCATGATGGAGGGCATTTTTTTCATTATTTGGACATGTGTTTATTTAAAAAAAATAAGTTCACTTGATACATTCACAGTAAAGAGCAGGGTTTGATTGCCAAATAAGTTAGTGCATTTACAGACATGCTGCACAGACATCATTAAAGAAGGCAACACTCTGTGGCAGGTGTGATTTCCATCATTGTGTTATTACTTTTCTCCTCCGAGTGGACCACCAGAGAAGATATTAGTTTGTCCTCCAAGCTGATTATCTGACAAAGACATTTCGCATTTGCCTCAATCATTGGACTTATATCCGAATATATTTATGTAAATGATGTTGTTTCAAATTAGTCAGACTGAATGGAAATAGCAGCATTTTAAAAGTCAATTTTCTGCTCACTTGAGAAGAGAAAGTGTTTTTGTGAAAAAATAAATAGGGACGCAAATGCCTCAGCTGAATAAATAATGACATTGTTTTGGCCTCAACAGGCCCAGTGAATGACAAATTCACTTTAGAAAAAAACTTGGCATGAAACATTAGACAAACAAAAAACAGCAACTTGCCAAATAACAATATATTATTTTGTCCTAATTATTTGAATTAGCAACACTACTGAGAATGTGTTTGTACTTTGACATGGTTGATTCAATTGGACATTTGAATGTATTGTTTAGTTACATTTGAACATTTTCTAACTTTTGCTTGACAAATGGATACAAAATGTAATAAAAACTTGGTATGTTTTTTTTTGCTCTAAGCTGCTGTTCGGTAAATATATTGCTCCCGATGGATTTTTGCTAAAAACAATCGGTCCACTAACTCTCGACTCTCAAAATGTCAGGGAGGAGCTGTCCATCATTTTTCTGTGTCTCTTTCTCTTCTGTATTCTGTCTCTCTGTCGGAGAACATGACAATGTTGAGAGAGGGGACTGATGCAGGAGACTGCCTGACCAGAGGAAGTGTTGGTCTACACACTAGACAGGATGGCAAGTGAATAAAAGGAGAGTACACGTGCGTGTGCATGTCTGTTTGTCAGTTATAAAGGGATTACCATATCCAGCGCCTTGTGTGAAAGCAGGAATACCCAGCAGGATCTGTCAGCGTCTAGCAAACACACACACTGAGAGAAACACACAAAACAGAAACAGGTGAAGGAGGGAGAGCAGAGGAAAGAATAGAGATGACAGTGAGCTGGAGACACAAAGAGGAATACAGACAGGAAAATATAGAAACACAGGCAGGTAGAGAAAGAAAGGAGAAGTGAAAGATATCTTCGGTATAATTCACAGATTGCTCACAGCTATTATATACTAATACAAGTGTATTAACACCCTGCCTGTATCTCCAAAAATGATTAAATGCCTCCCATTAAAATGTTTAAAGGGCACTTAAAGCTGTCCTCGGGTGCCGTAAAAATGTACGCTAAGGACATATGCACCTTGCTTTTCTAGCTCACAATACCTCACAATATTTCTCAGTGTGAAATTCAAAATTCACAGCTAGTTAATTCGCCCATAAATGATTATTATGAAGCTGTTTCCATAAATGTTGGTTGCTTCTTGGAAAGGAGAAGAAGTGTTAATGGAGAAAGCAGCAACTATGAATGTGTTGTATCCGTTGGACCGACAGATTTGGGTTTACTCAAACTGTGTTTGTTTTTAAAAGCAGAAAATGAGACGGTGTTATGTGACTGACAAAATCGTACGGTGGTTGGATCTGTTTTTATGACGATTAACAGCTTAATGACAAATCCAGATAGATGCACACTGAGGGGTCATCATTTCTAGCACGTGTAGAAGAAGCTACATTTGGTTAAAAGAGCACTTTCTGAATAAATAGTCTAAAAGTGTTCTCCATCTAATTGAAAGCAGTGTTTAAATATTGATTGTTTCCAAAAATTGCTGACTAGAGAGGGGAAGAAATGAGGAAACACTCATGTTGTACGCACACAGGCTGAAGGTGCTTGCATTCCTGCATGTAATGCTCAAACATACATGAATCAAAATATAAAAGCTTCACGATCACACACGCACACATTCACACTCACACAAGCGAGCATGTGCACTTTTAAGTGCAGGTCAGAGAAAGCTGAGTCACCAGAAATACTGATAGCCTCATCTACTCCAACCCACATTATCTCTCACAGCATGTTTAAAGACGGTCATAACTCTGTGTGTGTGTGTGTGTGTGTGTGTGTGTGTGTGTGTGTGTGTGTGTGTGTGTGTGTGTGTGTGTGTGTGTGTGTGTGTGTGTGTGTGTGTGTGTAT